TACACGATCCGGGAAAACTTGGCTTCAGTGATGAAACACGTCTTCTTGACCGGCACTTGAGTGTCCCGAGTAAAGTCTATTTTGCAATGAGCAAGGATATGCATAATGGGGATGGCAAAACGGAGATGGGAAAAACGAGTGCCATCGCTAAGTGCAACAATAAAGAAGTGAACCCAATCAAATTTGACATCGTTCAACAGGACGTGAAACAAACGAATATCGTCCTTGTTGACAACGCCATGGTTCGAATCACGGGGCAACAAAACATAGGAGAAGATGTATTGTTGGACGCGTTGAATTAAAGTGAGATTAATGACACTCGGGTTGCTAGAATTTCTAAACTTGAGGTCACGATGATCTAACCCGAGTTGTCGCCAAATTGCCTCATCTTGGAATGTTTCATCCATGTTTTCGGTAATTTCACCGCGACGAAGGCCAAACAGAGAAGTCTAACCGGCACCGTCAATGAAAATGGTTTTGCCGTCAACATAGGAAATGAGAGATGGCGAGTCTCCCTTAGTGGTACGAAGATTTGCATAAAATTGACGTATAAGATTTGGACAGAAGAATTCATATGTCAAATGGATGAAACGAAGCAAACCTTGCTGAAGGAAAAGAGACTTACTCGGGGCATAGGTCGCCGATTTGAAGAGGTCCTTGTTCACGATCTTAGGAGAGACGATCTCCTACGTGAGGAAGATGTTGTGGAACCTCTCGACTGAAGCCCCAGTGTTGAAGGCGAGACCGGTTTGTATGTGAATGTACTTGCTCCCTTCACGACGCCATGGCCTCTCACTCTCCTCTGCCGCCGATTCTTGACGCGATGAAGCGTTCTTGCACCTTGGCATCCTTCCTCTTTGAAATTGATGGGATTTGGTGAGAAAATGGAAGAAGTTTGAGAAAAATTGGAGAAGGGAAGGTGTTAGGGTTTCTAATTTCGTAACAGGAGAATGGCGAAGAAGACGAAGCCTGGCTGGATATAAGGGCAAAACTCGAATATTAATCGATTAAAAAACAAGTATTTAATCGATTAAGGAACACAGCCAAGGCAAAATCGATTAAATGAAGCTTATTAATCGATTAAAAGTGGAGCTAAACCAAACGTTTGCGTTTCAAGCTATTAATCGATTAAGCAAACGTGGTTAATCGATTAAGATGGACAGATGAGTCTAATCGATTAATGTAACCAAATTAATTGATTTAAAGTGACGCAGAGCAAAAAGTTTCGGATTTTAATCGATTAACAAAAGTCAAGTAATCGATTAAGAGGGACAGAGGCGACTAATCGATTTCTCTTCGAGGAGTAATCGATTAAAACTTGTTTGATAGAAAAAAACATCAAGTCCAATTTGGTTGAATACCAAGGGAAGAGATACCTACAATAAAAGCCCTGCAAAAAAGAGTTTATCGCGCCTCCGACGCTCAAATTAGTATAGTCAATAAAAAGAATGGATTAGTTCATAGAGATATCCAAAATTCCAAGTTCGTTCCGAATGTGGAAGAAACTCTCCCTACTAAGGGGTTTCGTGAAAATGTCTGTCAATTGATGTTTCGTTTCAACAAACTCAATTGTGACATCTCCCTTTTGGACGTGATCTCGTATGAAGTGATGCCTAATTTCTATGTGCTTAGTCCTCGAGTGAAGAACGGGGTTCTTCGTTAGACTAATAGCGCTCATATTGTCACACCTAATAGGGATGTGATCAAGTATAAGGCCGAAATCCACTAGTTGTTGTTTTAGCCAAAGAATTTGGGCACAACAATTTCCCACTAGTTGTTGTTTTAGCCACGAATGACCGAATAAGTGGCAAGTACCGCTGGTACTTTTCCTATCGAGTTTGCAACCTACAAAATCCGAGTTGGAATAGCCAACAAGATGACATGTTGAACCTTTGGGATACCAAAGACCTACGTTCAACGTGCTCGCGAGATATCGCATTATCCTTTTGATCGCAACCAAGTGCGACTCTTTAGGACATGATTGATACCTAGCGCATATACAAACGGAGTACATGATATCTAGTCTACTCGCGGTAAGATAAAGTAAAGATCCGATCATACCTCGGTAGCGCTTGGTGTCTACCTCTTTACCTTTTTCGTCCTTGTCGAGATAGCAAGAGGTGCTCATTGGTGTGTCAATGGATTTGGATTCGGTAACATCGAATCTTTTAAGTAATTCCCTACAATATTTCGTTTGACACACGAATGTTCCTTCTTTGCATTGTCTAATTTGCAGCCCAAGGAAGAACTTTAATTCTCCCATCATCGACATTTCAAATTCACTTTGCATCATATCGGAAAAATTCCTCCACAAAACCTCGTTAGTAGCACCGAATATGATATCATCTACATAAACTTGAACCAAAAGGATGTCTTGGTTATCTTTCTTGATAAAAAGAGTAGTGTCGACTTGACCCCGTTTGAACTCATGGTCCAAAAGAAATTTGCTTAACCGTTCATACCAAGCACGAGGTGCTTGTTTGAGACCGTAAAGGGCCTTTTTGAGTTTGAAGACATGTTCGGGAAACTCATAGTCTTCGAAACCCGGGGGTTGTTCGACATACACTTCCTCTTAAATTGATACCATTAAGGAAGGCACTTTTAACATCCATTTGATAAAGTTTAAAATCCATTGTAGATGAAAATGCAAGCAGTAAACGAATAGCTTCTAAACGTGCAACCGGTGCATAAGTTTCTTCATAATCAATGCCTTCTTCTTGATTGTAGCCTTTAGCTACAAGCCTAGCTTTGTTTCTAGTAATTATTCCATTTTCATCGAGTTTGTTACGAAACACCCATTTTGTGCCAATAACGGAATGATCATTAGGTCTAGGCACCAATTCCCAAACATCATTGTGTTTAAATTGGTTAAGCTCCTCTTGCATTGCCATAGACCAATGTTCATCATTAATAGCATCCAAAACGGTTGTTGGTTCAATTTGTGAAACAAAGGCCATGTGATTAATTGTGTTCCTAAGAGAATTACGAGTAGAAACTCCCTGCGTTATGTCACCAAT